AGAAAGAGACAGAGACAGAGACAGAGACAGAGCGAGAGAGAGAGAGAGAGAGAGAGAGAGAGAGAGAGATAGAGAAACTACCTGCTCCCAGAACAGTGCATTGTCCGGCACGCTGTCGATAACAAGCTTCTCATCGTCTGCCGGCTGTTCGACGAGCACGTTGGCCGTGCGTCGCTTCTTACACGGCTGCTCTGACGGCTGGCTTCTGAAACTCGCACAATCACTCAATCAGTTCCTCCCCTCCCTGACCTCCCCCACAGCTCTAAGTTGGAGGGGCATGATATGGCTGGGGAGACAGACGAAGGTAGCTCCACTAAAGTTAGTGGACAGTTGGGTAAGGGCAGCGGCACATACCGAGAGAGAACGTGAGAATACGGTTCAGCGATAAACCGTGCGAGAGTGCTTGCAACCGACGGCATCGTGGTTCGTGATAGATGCAGCCACTTACCCCAGTTCCGTTGGCTGCAAGTCCCGAGATCGCTGCTTTGCGAGTGTCTTGGCTTTTCGTTTTGCGATGTTCTTCTCTCTGTTGCTCATAGATGGCAGCAGCTGACTTAGTTGAATCACTTCCTGTAAAACACGGTGAAAATCTCTACTGCCGATTGCCTGGCATAGAATTCTTCACGTATAGAATTACAAATACTTACTATATATAGACTGCCTTAGCTACTATCAATAGTCACCATTATCTCTCTCCATTTGCTCTTATACTCATACCCAGTCACGATCACTTATTATCTCCAGTTAAACTAACACATTGTCTATTGTTAACATTACATACTGTCTGTAGTTTCCATTACCTGATGTTTCTAATTACTATTACCTGCTATTTCTAATTACTATTACCTGCTGTTTCTAATTACTATTACCTGCTGTTTCTAATTACTATTACCTGCTATTTCTAACCTCTATTACTGCTGTTTCCAACTCTACTACCTGCTGTTTCTCATCTCTATTACGTGTTGTTTCTCCTCACTATTACCTGCTGTTTCTAATTACTATTACCTGTTGTTTCTACTAGTAACTACCTACTGTTTCTCCTCACTATTACCTGCTGTTTCTCACCTCTATTACCTGATGTTTCTAACCTGTATTACGTGTTGTTTCTCATCACTATTACCTGCTGTTTCTAATTAATATTACCTACTGTTTGTCATCCACAATACCTACTGTTTGTCACCACTATTACCTCTGTTTCTCAACTGCTATTACCTGCTAGTTTTCTAAATTACCCATATTACCTACTGTTGTGTCATCACATTACCTACTGTTTGTCATCACTATTACCTGCTGTTTTGTCACCACTATGATCCTACTGTTTGTCACACTATTACCTGCTTGTTTGTCAGCCGACTATATGTACTGTTGTCCTCACTAT